ATGTGCAGCACAGAATTTTAGCTTTTTATTTGGAGGAACAAATGGACAAATTTCCCTCCCCATCAAGTTGTCACAAGAATTAGATCATAAGGGAAAAATGCAAATCCTAAAGTTATCTAGTGCTTTTCTCATAATTCTAAACAAAGAAAAAGTGCAGATTTTGAAATCTCTACTTACAATACAGATACGCAAGAAAGCTGTAGAATTCTCATCTCATTACAAGTTTAAAGTTCTGAAAAGGTCTCTCTTCCAGGGAAAGCCCATGGAATTCATTATCAACTAGCCTAAAACTGGTGCATTTTGCTAAAAACCTTGAGAAATAAAAACGAGTTACCCTTGTTTCTCTAGTAACATAGCAGCTAGACTAATACTTCAAAACACCACCCGTCCTTTAATTTGGGTACCTTCCCTAGTCAACACCTCTGTAATAGTCTGAAACACAATGTTCATCGTAAACACTAAATTTTAGTAGATAAATATATGAAGACTAATCAAAAAGTCTCTTTAGAATAAAATATCTTAGCCCTCTGTATATCAAACCAGAATCCGAAAGGTAAAATAATGTACATTATTTTCAAATATACAAACTATGTGCTAACGTAAAAAAAATAAAAATGTCCTTTAGTTCAAGCCAGAGTTCTGCTGGGACAGCTTGGTGGGCACACGCGCTAGGAGACGGGGCTGCCACAATGAGGGTCGCTCCTGCCAGCTTCTGCAACACAGCAACAAGAGCCAGCACGTCAGGAGGGCAGCATACTCCAGACTTCGATTACACACACACACCGCTACTCATTTGGAGACGGCAAGTCAAGATGACAAAAACCTAAGTGAATATTTATTTAAATAATTTAAAATTAAAATTGAAAAAATTTAAATACATGCAAAAATGACAAGTAATCCCAGAAATACAGTCAACAAGAAAAACAGATAATTGCCCTCCTCATAAATGGTGTGAGAACTTTTCTAGTATCAGCCTAGCCAACAATAATCCGACCATGGTGCTATAAAAAGAGACACAGTCTGAGATGGTGGCACTAGAAGGTGTTCAAGTAGCTATGGTGTCAAGGACACTACTTCCACTGAAAACACAAGCCAGCATTTAACGGGCACTACGTACCCCACAAGGTAGACATTAATTAATGTGTTGTGACCCCCAATTTACAGATGCCAGGGAAGAGGAGAAGCTGGTATTTACATTCGGATTACCGAGAGTACAAATCACTTTAGCACAGAAGGCTTCTTACAATGGAAGACTTCCTTAAAAACAACAGCAGAACCAAAAACCTTTTAAAAATTTGGCCCATTTAAAAATTTTATTTAATGGTGAAATAGCGTAAGGAATCTTACTAAATGTTTCCCGTTTTAAAAAATTTATTTACTTTTTAAACTGACAAATAAAAATTGTACAAATTTGTACTGTACAACATGATGTTTCGAAATATGTATACCCTGTGGAATGGCTAATTAACTGTGCATCATCTCATATACTTATCATTTATTTGTGGTGAGAACACTTAAAATCTGCTCTTACCAGCTTTCAGGTATATTATACGTTGTGTAGTGACTGTAGTCCCGAGCTATACAATGCTCTCTTCAATTTACT